CAAAAGAGTTAACAGTGTAATAAATGGAAGACACTATAAATCGAAACAGTACAGTAACCTTTGTTTCAACCATAATTCACAAGCAGTGCCAGCAAACTAGAACAGATCCACTCTGTTTCAGACTTCATGTAACTGGCTAAATTTCCATACTCCTATACTTTAAAGGTTATTAGTTTTTAGTCAACTTTATAAGGGTAAGTCAACATTTGTCATGGCAGGAAGCCCAACATTATTATTTTTATTAGTCTGCTACTAGTTAAATTGGCCCAAGATTAAACAGTTCTAATAAATGCCCCCAAAACTTGGAGTTTAATAAAAAAACCCCCACATTCAAGCTCTGTTCCACGGGATGTTATCAGTATTTAACCTTCAGCAGGCTAAAAAACCCAAAACAAACAAAAAAGGTTAAAATAGAAAAAACCAACCTATGTTAACAACAGAGTCTCTTAATACAGCAAACATTTAACCTAAAAATAAATTCAGCCAGGCATCTCAGGCTTTTTGCACCTTCAGAGAAAAGCAAATCTAAAACTAGAACAACATTCTCAATTATTACTGGTGCTAATAAAGACTATGGTTTTTTAATACTTGGAACAGCAGAGAATTTGCCTTTGCTTCATAGTATCTTAGAAATATTCTGGTTGGGAAATTCTAGAACATTCACTCTTCTAGAGCTGAGGCTGATGGTCAAGAAAAACAAAGTAGGTGACTCTAAAGCAATTCTAAGTATAGCTCAGTGTTGCACAACAGTAACTGTAATCATCCACACAAATCCATCCTAATATCTGGGAAGAGGCATCCCACCAGTGAAACTGCTGGCACTGCAAGACAACTTTATTAAGTGATTTAAGTAAATTGATACATAAAGGCAGCTTGATCAGCCAATAAATTGTGTGTATCAATGATACAGCTTTCCTTCAAAACCACAAGGTTCCACCCACCACCTGTGCTCCATGATGGAAGCAGGAGGAGGTTTGTTGTTCCTCCTCTGCCAGTTTCCGCAAAACCAGCAAGCAGATGAAGCAAAATCCAGAGACATTTTGTTTCAGTCAGTGTTATAAAGAAGAGGACCTGAAACAATAGTCAGGGTACAATGAAAAGCCATATAGAGAAGTGGTGAAGTATTCTCAGTCGAAGAAAATCAGCTGAAGTTTGCAACGCGCTATTGTGTCATGCGTTCACCAAAGATTGGCTCCTTGCCGCAAATAGGCTGCCCTCATTAGTCACCACTCCTAAGACCTCAACTTCCATTTGCCATATGCAAGACAGAACCACTGAACTGTCAGCAGCGTAAGGACAAGTTGCATCCAGCTATCTTGACTGATCATTCGTCTACGATATCCAGAAATCTAAGTCTACCAGCAGTTAGGAAATGAAGGCCAATTAACAGAAAACCTCATACTGAGGTGAATTAACACGAGTAACAGAAACTCTGAGAAACCCAGACAACTCATGTAGAGTTGATTAAATTCTGCATTTCCTCTCATTAGAAGCTGCTTGTACAGACTACCTAAGAGAGACCTTTTCCATTCTGGAACAAACTGGCCATGAAGCTGAACTGCCAATTAACAAGCAGACATCATAGAGCGAGTTACTCAATGGCAAAATAAAGGCAAGCTGTTTGTTTCAAATTGCCATTAAGCAGAACAGATCAGCAATTCCAAGTGTGGGGTTTTGACATGTTTCCACATTTACCTCACTGCAGTTACACTGCACATGAACTTACCTGAAATATATCAAAACTGCCGCTTGCTAATATTTCATTAAAAATTAAGTACAAACATTTATGGAGATCAAAGAAAATTCATGACTTGCAGTTTATCTCAATCTTTTGGCCCCTCTCCCTCTGGCTCCATGCCTGGTTCTCATGTTAATGATGTGCCATGGCCCAGAGGCCTGTGGGTTACCCTTCAGGTTAGTTTTCCTACACTCCCCACGCCAAATTAAACACAGTTCTGAGCACAAGGCAGCCTAGACCTCCTGCACATCAAAATAGTGAGGATATCAGGAGACAACAAAAGATAGATTGCAAACAGCTCTGATTCCTAGGTCTAAGATTTCTGCAGCATAAGAGATGTAAGTAGACATACAACATACTGGAGACACAAAGGAATTCTATGCCACCGTTGTAGTTTTTAGAGCCTAAACGCATGCACAGATCCTGTACAGCAGAACACAACATCCTTACTCTGAGGAATTAATGTCTCCCAACCTTTAAACCTCATTCTGTGACTGTGCGAGCTCTTTCTTATCTGCTGCCCATCCACTGGCTCTGCTTCACTTTGTTTCCTTTAGAGGGGTGATAAGGGAACTGCTTTAACCAGTGAAACACAGTAAATAGTGTGGTTTGTGTGTGTATATCTATATCATCGGGAAAGATGTGGGCCTTTTTATACCTTAAAGGAAGCAAATTTCAAGTTTTACAGTCTCTAATTTTGTATTATGAAAAAGCTGGAAAGAGCCCAACACCTCTGCACTGTTTACACCTAGAATTGTACATTATTTTATGTGGGGTATGCCATGATGTATGTAAAGGCCTTATAGTATTTCCTGTATTAACTCATTCCTCAGACATTGAAGTGTTTTGCTGCCATTAAACTGCATTTAGAAAGAATTATGATAGTTGCACTCTGACTAGAGGTACACTAGCCTTTTCTCAGAATCCAGACTTTTACTGTTCACATGCATTTTGGACATTTTATTTTTCATTGTTTTGTGACTGTGCTACTTCTATGGAGTTTATGCCAAGGAAGCCAGTGTGGCTTAAAGAATGAACTCGAAGTAGAAAACCTCTGCTCTCTTTTGTGCCACTGAATTGTTCCTCAAAAACATTCCTGGTTTTCCACTACTGCTCTGCAGGCTCCAAGTGAAGTCCAAGAATAAGGAAGAACTAATCTATTGCCCACAAGCGTCAGATTGTTACCCAGAGACCCAACTGGAAATTTGGGAAAATTTTAACAGTTCGGTATATGCTCAAGCCTTTGGCTGACTTTCATCCCATGTAAGTTCTATTGTACTTGGTCTTCCCAGACTATATTTTGTAGTTGTTCAAAACAAACACTAGAAGATTATTGTTTAGTAAGGTCAGAGGAAATACTTTATAATAATGAGTTCTGATTTAAAACCAAAACACAACATCTACGTAGTAGAGAGTCTGTTCTATTCCACACATATCAACATTTATGCACACGTTCGGTTATTAAATAAATCAACCAACTTCACGTGTTAATAATTAAAATGAAATTGAGGTTTTCAAAGCCACAAATTCATAACCCCCCAACAAGCTAGCTTTCTGGTGCAGTAGCACAACACTGTGGTAGAAGGCGCCCAATAGCTTTATTTAGCCTTGTAAATACTGAAGGGTAGAAGAGCTTAACATTAGAGCTTGAGAAGAAACATGGATTTCCCCCCCCCCATATTGACAGACTTCAAAGAAACAGGCTGCATCCATCTATCCCTATAATGCCTTTCCCAAAGAGTAGGTTTTATTTCTGCTTCCTTAACTGCATTTTTGGAGTGGCAGGTGGTCTTTTCATACTGTCCTAAGACAAACAGGAGAATGTTTAGAAGTTTATTTTTCAGAATGCTAGAAGCCCATCATGCTCTCAGAAAACAGCCTGAAAGCATAGCGTGCATTTTCTTATTCATATAAAATGCGAACTGAAAGATTATAAATCAGAAACAACTGTTTGCACATTGTAATTTTGATTGATCACATCTGTTATTAGATACTTCCTTGTGCTCTAGGCTTTCACTGAGACTTTTTCTTTGAAATTTGACTGTAATTAAGCTGCCCTTCCTAACTGTAAGAGAGCAGCATGCCAACTCCTCAGACTTGACAATTCTATTCATTCACCAAAAAAACCTTCCTGCAGTAAAGGCTAAAACTGCATTTCTTTAATATTATAGTTAGTAAAATGAGTGCCCTTAAGAGAACCATTTGGTACTTAACAACTCGTGCTTTACATAGATGCAGATGTACACACACTCAGGGTGGTAGTTTTCGAAGTTGAAAAAAACTCCACTTTCGTTAACTGCAATAATTAAATCCCTTTATGTGAAAGTACACTGAAAAGCAAGACTGGAACATCTTTTTATTAGTTCTTAGCTTATACATTGTGATTAAATAGTAACTTGCCTTATGTTACTTTAAATCTGTTCAACTGCTGGAGGTAATTAATCTTTGATGCAGTTGTATTAAATACACCCCATTTACTAAGTTGTCTTCAAGTTATTCGGCAAACAAGACTAATGAAGAAGCCATATATATATAAGTGATAAAAACTTCCAGAGAGAAATTTTATCCTTCCTCCAGCACAGCTAGGCAGAATCCTTAAGGTCACTGTTTTCTTTCCAAACAAGCACACAGAGCAACATTAACTTAAAGTATCAAGTACTTAAGCCTTTCACGAACATTGTTCCTGAAAAGTTTCACCATTTAGAACTTTGCAAATGAGTATGTTGAATTTGGGTGAACGAGTAAGATTTTTAACATCACTTGAAAGGATTTCATGCTTTTTAAGAAACAGAGTAGCCAACCTGCTGATAGAGATTTCAGTTAACTGTTAATGTTATCGTATTAATTTCTTGGTTTATTACCGATGAGGAAAAGCCAGAAAATGCTTTAAGACACCGTTTTCCAGACTCCCCTCCACTCAGCAAAGCATATAACCAGTTCCAGTGTAAGCTGAACCATTGGTAAGTAATGGTTAGCAATGGAATAAAATACATATAAAAAACTTTAAACTACCTATCTAAACCAGGTATTTCTCAATTAGCTACTTAAAAGATTAATTTCAATTTCTTAAAATGACAGATGGCAAAAATCTAGATTCTTTATTCCTTGCCTTATTCCAAAGGAACGTTCAACATCTAGAGACAGGATGCCTAAATAAACCAGAAGCCGATTTTCAAAGCGCATTACGTTTCCCCAAGGCAATACAGATCACACGATAAAGAAAAATAAAAAGTTATAACCACATCACCAGTAGGTTAAGTACCTCCGTCTCTTTAGCTGGGCTGGTCACCGTCTGCGCTTCCAGGGCACAATTCGCCCTCTTGACGGAAAGGTAGAAGGGATAGTCCTTGGCCACCATCGTGGCTGCAGGAGGAGCGGTTTCGGGGGTCACAGCTGATTCTGTCCGAGCACAAGACGAGAGGACAAAGCCGAGCCGAGCCTCCCCGGCACTCGGCAGCCCTGTACCCGCGGCGCCC